TCCTAGCATTAGGGTCTTTTCCAATGAGTCAGTTCTTCCCATCAGGTGGACAAAGTATTGGAGCTTCAGCTTCAGCATCAATCTTTCAAATGAATATTCAGGGTTGATTTCCTTTAGGATTGACTCGTTGGATCTCCTTGCTGTCCAAAGGACTCTCTAGAGCCTTCTTTAGCACCACAGTTCAAAAGCATCAATTCTTCAGTGCTCAGCCTTCTTTATGGTCCAACTCTCACATCCATACATGACTACTGGAAAAACCATAGCTTTGACTAGATGGACCTTTGTTGGCAAAGTAATATCTCCACTTTTGAATACCCTGTCTAGATTTGTCATAGCTTTCCTTCCAAGGAGCAAGTGTCTTTTAATTTCATGGCTACATTTGTCATCTGCAGTGATTTTGGAGCCAAGAAAATAAAATCTGTCACTGTTTCCATTTTCTTCCCATCTATTTGCCACGAAGTGATGGGACTGGATGCCATGATGTTAGTTTTTTGAATGTTGAGTTTTAAGTCAGCCTTTTCACTCTCCTCTTTCACTTTCATCAAGAAGCTCTTTAGTTCTCTTCACTTTCTGCCATTAGAGTGGTATCATCTGCGTATCTGAGGTTGTTGGTATTTCTCCGAGCAATCTTGATTCCTGCTTGTGATTCATCCAGGCTGGCATTTCGCATGAGGTACTCTGCATGTAAGTTAAATAAACAGAGTGACAATATACAGCGTTGATGTACTCCTTTCCCTATTTGGAACCAGTCTGTTGTTCCATGTAAGGTTTTGTTGCTTCTTGACCCACATACAGATTTCTCAGGAGACAGGTAAAGAGGTCTGCTATTCCCGTCTTTTTAAGAACTTTTCCACAGTTTGTTGTGAACCACACAGTCAAACCCTTTGGTATAATCAGTGAAGCAGAAGTAGTTGTTTTTCTGAAAGTCCCTTGCTTTCTCTATGATCCAACAAAGGCTGGTAATTTAATCTCTGATTTCTTTGCCTTTTCTAAACCCGTCTTGTACATCTGGAAGGTCTTGGTTCACATACTGCTGAAGCCTAGCTTGAAGGATTTTGAGCATAACCTTACTAGAATGTGAAATAAGTGCAGTTGTGCAGTAGTTTGAACATTCTTTGGCATTGTCCTTCTTTGGGATTGGAATGAAAACTGACCTTTTGCAGTCCTGTGGCCACTGCTGAGTTTTCCAAATTTGCTGGCATCTTGAGTGCAGCACTTTAACAGCATCATCTTTTATAATTTGAAATAACTCAGCTGGAATTCCATCATCTCTACTAGCTTTGTTCGTAGTAATGCTTCCTAATGCCCACTTGACTTCATACTGCAGAATGTCTGGCTCTAGGTGAGTGACCACACTATCATGGTTACCTGAGTGATTAAGACCTTTTTAACATAGTTCTTCTGTGTATTCTTGCCACCTCTTCTTAATCTCTTCTGCCTCTGTAGGTCCTTACTATTTCTGTCCTTTATACATGTTTGGTAAGAACCAATTAAGTTTAATACTTGCTGGCTTGTACCTGCTCATGGCCTTGCCTCTAAACTATAGAGAGCAGTTATCCCTAAAGAGCAGTATTAGAATTTTCACATTTGGAGCAATACAGATACATATATATGTTCACTGGAGTATATATATACTCCAGTGAACATTCTATAATTTTGTATTTCAAAAAAATTCTTTTAAAAATTCATACTCGCTTTCTGTTAGGCCCTTCTAAAGCTCAGATTTCCTTCAGGTTCCTATAAATAACAAAAGTCCATGCAAACCAGCTTAAATGGAGGAGTGCTCTTCTCCCCAGGGATCGAACTCAGGTCTCCTGCATGGCAGGCGGATTCTTTACCAGCTGAGCCACCAGGGAAGCCCAAGAATAGTGGAGTGGGCAGCCTATCCCTTCTCCAGCAGATCTTCCCAACTCAGGAATTGAACTGAGGTCTCCTGCATTGCAGGTGGATTCTTTACCATCTGAGCTACCAGGGAATCCATATATATATGTATAGATATTACAATGAACATTTATAATTCTGTATTTCAAAAAATTCTTTTTAAAATCCATACTCGCTTTCTGTGAGGCTTTTCTAAAGATCACATTTCCCTCAGGTTCCTGTAAATAACAAAAATCTATGCAAACCAGCTTAAATGGAGAAAGAGTTACAGGATGGACTCTGAATTGTGACACAAAAGAGGAGGTTAATAAGCATCCAGCAGCCTTGGAGGAAGCGGGGCCGGGGCCAGATAGTGTGACAAGTCACAGCAGACAATGCCTCAGCATCCTCTTTGGCCCATGTGGTCTCTCTTCATGGTAGGAAGTGGTGACCCACACTATTTACATGACCAGTCATCTCTTTATACAAAAGATAGTGTTTTCCTCAAATACTGGAAACCACTAGAAATCTCTCATTTGAAGAGAAACTTAGCAAGTTCTTTCAGTTGGTGGACTTCACCCTTTTCTCCTTGATACCCTGATCCATATGAGGTTGCTGCTTCTCAGGCATAAAATATCTGAGGTGTAAGAGGGTGGCTCTACCCGGCTGATCCTCTGCCTCAATGTGGGATCTCCGGCAGTATTTGTGGGACCACAGGAATTTGTACTTACAATGCCAGTTAGTGCACCCCACGGTGTAAGTTGAGGGCTTCACTGGTAGCTCAGATGGTAAAGAATCTGCCTGCAAAGCGGGAGAGCAGTTTCGATCCCTGAATCAGGAAGACGCCCTGGAGAAGGGACTGGCTGCCCACTCCAGTTTTCTTGCCTGGAGAATCCCATGAACAGAGGGTCCTGGCAGGCACAGTCCCCGCAGTCACAAAGAGTTGGGCACGACTGAGCAACTAACACACACACACAACAGAGTGCAAGTTATCTGCTGGTATAATCTAACTCAAAGGGACTATGTCCTTCCTTGCTCTGTCTTTGTATAAGTAGCAGTTACAAAGTACAAATTTAAGTCCAACGCAAACTCTTGTGTCTCACTAAGTGATGCTAAAGATTAAAAAAATACCATTCAACTTCAAATTATACCTCACTTAGTAGAAACAGTATCTCCAGTTAGCATAATTATCTAATGAACATTCAAAAGGGAAAATCTAATTACTAGAATCACAGATTCTTTGGGTTGGATGGAAACTCACAGGCCAGTGTGAATGCCCACCCTCTCTCTCCACCTTCCACAGCCCTCAACTGATATGAGAGTCCTCCTTATGATGTCTCTACCAGGTAGAAGATAATCCTGCTTCATGTCTCCATAGAAGCAGCACCTTCTATTTCTAAGTAACTACAGTTTTCGGAATATCTTGACCCTGGTAGGACTAAAAACTGGCTTTCTTATAACTTCTACCCATTGACACATACTTGCCTGGATTTTGTGTCTGGAGCCTCAGAAACCCTTTTCTGCATCCCAAGAGGAGATATCTTCTCTGATTTGAAAAAGAAGCTCCGCCCAGTGACAGATACAGTTGGTTGCCCACCCAACAGCCATCCTTCATTCCTCCTCCTTCCTAGCTAAAAGAACGCCAATACTGTTTGGTTATGAGATGGACAGAAATACTGTTTGGTTATGAGATGGACAGAAATATGTTCAAAGAAAGATATCTCTTCCCCAGCCCCAGGTCTAGTTAGTCTTTGAAACTAAAGAGCTGAAGGGCCAGTAACATGACACAGTCTGGTCAATGAGGTATTAGGGAAGTGTGCTAAGGAACTTCTGGAAAAGTGTTTGCTTCCAGATAGAAGGTTAAGATGTTTGAGATGAGCTCCTAGGCTCTGCCTCTCCCCACTTCTCCTTGCCTCGAATGTGGTCGTGTGAAGCCTGATGCTTGGACCCATGGCAATCATCTTTGTACCATAAGGCGACAAACCTAAGAAGCCAACATGCCAGGGATGTAAAACATAAAAGTAAAAGGAGCCTGGGCCTTGAGTGGTATCATTAAGCCCCTGCTGCTCACCCTGGAGTGGCCTCCCATCCAGACATCTTGTTCTCTGAGATAATCACATTTTATCATCTAACCACTGCTAGCTGAGCTTTCCCTAAATTGTAAAGGAATATGTTTCCACCTGTGATGGCTCACAAGAGCCTCAGGTGTCCAGGCTCCTCTGCTGAGTTTCATATGACATTTCAAGTCCTGACCGCAGCCCTGCCATCCTAACCCGTCTCCTCAGTACCATCCCTGTGGTGTGGTGAGGAAAACAACACAGGCCCCCAGTGATGGCCACTCAGGACAGAGCTGTTCCCTCTCTGTCTTCATATCCTCCAACTTCACTTTCTTGGCAACCACCTCACACCTTCAGGTCGCCGTTTGCTACATCACATGACCGTTTTACAGATGCTTTGGCGGGTTCCATCACCTGCAGTCCTCCTGCAAGTTGTCATTTGTACCCAAGTGCTGGGCTTTGCATTGATCTGGTCTCTGTGATGGTCCAGGATGTTTCCTAGGCTGTTACCATTGCTTTGGCTCACCGTTCTTTCATCCAGTTTATTAGCTCTCCTCACAGAGCCATGGCAGCCTGGAAGGCTGATCAGCATGCCATCAATGTGCTCACCCACAAAGCTCTAAAAAAAAAATCCACTGAATAAGACAGCAACCGGAGACAAATGTAACACAATACTAGCAGTTGGTCTGACAATAACAGACATACCAGTGTCTCCAAAAATACACCAACTCAATACCCATTTGGAGTGAACCTTTTCTGGTGTACTAATATAGCAGAAGGAGGAGAAGGCTTGATTCATCGCACAGGAACCAAAAGTGCTGAGGAAGGAACGGTGATGGGAGGTCAACATATTCCATGGTCGTTATTATGGCAATTATCAGTCTCTCCTACAGTGGTAGCTTGTTAGGTCATGTGCAACAAAACACGAGTTGAAAAAAGTCTGGGAAATTGAAGAGCTTTGCTCTACAAAGCCTGCATTTTATAGAACACGGGCATTTGTTCCATAACAATAGAACACAGCCGTGATTTATAAAGCAAAGCAAAGATACTTGGTCTGCCATCCAATTTTTTTTTTTGTTCTAGACATAATCAGCAGATCTGAAATAAGACAAGCTCCTAGATGAAAGCAATTATCTGTAATACCAAGAATATGAGAGGTAAGAGAAGAAGAAAAAACAAGGAAAAGAAAAATACATTCTGGGGAAGTAACCAAAATAACTGCTTTTGCACTTCCTAAACTATGACTTTTGCTTTTGGAATTTTCTGGAATTAAAAAAAAAATATTTTCCATCTGGATTTGGTTGAATCTGCAAACGTAGAATCTGTGGACATGGAGGGCCAACTGTCTACAATAATGACTGGGTGAATGCAAATCCTCTTCTCTGCATATCTGCTTCAGATACAATCTGAGGGGGGATTTCTGGTTCCAATTCCCCAAAAAATTGCCCTCAAAAGCAAAAAGTTATCCAAGACAAACATCCCAGTAACTAACTGTTCAGATATCCCCACAAAGATTGTACCTTTGCAAATTTCTGCCAGCACCACTGCCAACTCCAGCATATTAATCATTACTATACATCTTTGACAATTTGGTGGGAGGAAAATGGCATCTTTTTGTTGCTTTCCTTTGCATTTCTATCTTCATTAATAGACTTTTCCCCCCTTAATCCTCATTTTAAGTAATGTTTCTCTGACTTCCACTGAGAAATTATAAACTCGGTGAGTTGAGCATTCATAAAAGGGATAAGCGCCACGTATTTCTAACTTAATTACTGCACCATTAAAATGAGCTCTGCACAACATATCTGGAAGTGGCTTTTGTTTGAGAGACAAGGAAGATGTGTGTGGTTTCTTTTCCAAATCAGACAGCTGAGAGCTTTGCCTGCAGAGCTGTGTCCTAGAAGCACAGACGACCTCTATGCCTCGACCCATCCAGGGTAAAGATTTGCTAAGTGGCTCTTCCCCAGCTTGTGGCAGTTTCCATCCTAATGCTTTAAAGTACTGTCATCATTAAGATAAAAAAAACAAGAAACAGTTCTCCAGTATTTTCCTATGGCTAATCCAAGTTATAGTAACACAATAATAGTTTTCACTTGAATAGCCTTTAAGATTCATTTTGAAAATAGCAGTAGCTACCTTGAGAAATATTTATTGAGTTTTCACACCAGTGCACCAGTGGGGGTGCAAAGAAAAATTCTAAAATAGCTACTTATAAAGTTTAAATGAATTTAATTAGACTGTTCAAAATGGGAAAAAAATGCTGAACTATAAACCATTGTAGACATGATTAATTACATTTGCATTATGCGCCAAGTACAAGAATGAGACACCCCCACCCTACGCCTGGCTCCTCCCAGATTCAGAGGTATATGTATTGTTGCCAGCAAGACACCTCCCGGTGGAGGCACACCTAGAGCGTGTCTGCAACCAGAGCAGGGAGAGTCTGATCAAAAGGGGCCCTGTGGCCCCTGCAGACTCACGACCAACCTTACTGATGAGCCAGCCACCCTTCCTTCCTGGGGTTGGTCCCTGAATCCTCCCTGCGGCATTCCCCAGTTAGGTCCCAGCTGTCCCCCACAGCAGGCCTGGCCTTTCATCATTCCCCCCCAGCCTCTCTGCACCCAGACACACTACTGTCTTTGTTCTGTGCTGCCTGACTCTTGCTGCAGTGAAAGTGAAAGTCGCTCAGTCGTGTCCAGCTCTTGCGATCTCATGGACTATACAGTCCATGGAATTCTCCAGGCCAGGATATTGGAGTGCATAGCCGTTCCCTCCACCAGGGGTCTTCCGAACCCAGGGATCGAACTCAGGTCTCCTGCATTGCAGGCAGATTCTTCACCATCTGAGCCACCAGGGAATGTGAGCACTTACCATCACAAAATAAGTGCAGGATGAATGAGTGAATAAACAAAGGCAGAGTGAGCTCCCCTCTGGGGGACAGAATGACAGACAAGTCAGGATGGCCATGACATAGTCAGTGGGAAAAAGCAGATTTTCAAATGTGTCTAGAGAGGATAATTCAATGTTAAACTGTATAAAAAGTATGGAAGTGAAAAGGAAAAATTTCTGAAAAGATGCCCTACATGTCAACACTTAAAAGGTGAGAAGCTAAGGGTAGATGCAGACAGGACACTCATTTCTTCTCCTAAGAGGCCTCTTTCTTTTTTACTGAGGAATTAACATTTTACTTAGAAACTTCCTGGCAGCCTGGTCCTATGGGAGACCACGACTGAGGTAAACTGGGAAAGTTGAGAACCTGGATCCTCAGCTCCCTCGTAGGAGGTGGACATGGAAGAAGGGAATTGGGAGTGATCAGCAGTGTTTGCCCCATACAGTCCCAGTCATTCAGTGGGCAAATATTTATATCTTTTTCAGTTTTTTTCTTTATATTGGAGTATAGCTGATTAACAGATATAGTTATGATTGTGATAGTTTCAGGTGGACAGCAAATACTCAACCATACATACCCATGTATCCTTTCTCCCCTAAACTCTCCTCCCATCCAGGCTGCCACGTAACATTAATCAGAGTTCCCTGTGCCATACAGTAGGTCCTTGTGGGTTATCCATTTTAATATAGCAGTGTGTACATGACATTGGACAGTTATTTACTGAGTACCTGCTATGTGCCAGGCATTATTCTTGGTGATGGGCCACAGCAGTGATAAGATAGACAAAATCCTGGATCTCCTAGGGCTTACGTTCTAGTGGAAAAAGCCAGGCAGTTTGATAAAATAATAAATTATATAGTATAGTGTATTGGATAAAGAAATAAGGCAGAAATGTAAGGTGTGCCAGGCAGGGTGGGATTGTTTCCAAACAGAGTGGCCTAGGAACACATCCAGGACAGGAGATTTGACGGATGAACGGAGCTTATTGGGAGGCCACATGGGGATGGGGCTTCTGCAGGTGCGGGAACAGCAGGTGTGGTCCTGGCACGTCTGGGCAGAGTAAGTATACAGTCAGGAAACTGAAGGCCAAGGTACCAGGGGCCTTGCAGGGTGACATGGGTATGTGAGACCATCCTAGAAATCGGGGACCATCCTAGAGGGTCAGAGCAAAGAAATGACAGAGTTTAATTTACATTTTTAGACTACTTTATTAAGATATAATTTACATATAGCTTAATTCATCCATTTACATTATGTAATTCAGTGATTTTTAGTATATTAACAGGATCGTTCAACCATCACCATTATCCCGTTTCTAAAGATTGTCATGCCCTTCTCTCCCCAAAAAAGCGCATACCTGTTAGCAGTCACCCTCTAGTCCCCCTTCCTCCAACCACATGCAACCACAATCTCTTCTGTCTCTATGGATTAGCCTATTCTGGACATTTTATACAACTGGAATCTTATAATATGTGGCTAGCCTCTTTCATTTAGCATAGAGTCTTCAAGGTTCATACATGTTGTAGCCAGTATGAGTACTTCATTCCTTTTTATTGTCAAATAATGTTCCATTGTAAGGATATACCACACTTTGTTTATCTATTCCCCAGCTGGTGGATATTTGGGTGGTTTCCTCTTTTGGCTACTATAAATAATGCTACTGTGAACATTTATAAGACTTTATGTAGACATATGTTTTCAGTTACGGAGAAGGCAATGGCAACCCACTCCAGTGCTCTTGCCTGGAAAACCCCATGGATGGAGGAGCCTGGTAGGCTGCAGTCCATGGGGTCGCTAAGAGTCAGACACGACTGAGCGACTTCACTTTCACTTTTCATTTTCATGCATTGGAGAAGGAAATGGCAACACACTCCATTGCTTGGAGAATCCCAGGGACGGTGGAGCCTGGTGGGCTGCCGTCTATGGGGTTGCACAGAGTCAGACATGACTGAAGCGACTTAGCAGCAGCAGTAGCATGTTTTCAGTTCATTCTGAGGAACTGCCAAACTCTTCAAGGCAGCTGGCTGCACCATTTTGCGTTCCCAACAGCAGTGTATGAGGATTCCAGTTTCTTCATATTCTCACCAATGCTTGTTATTTCCTGGTTTTTTTATTATAGCCATTCTAGCAGGTGTAAAGTGAAGGTGAAAGTCGCTTAGTTGTGTTCGCCTCTGCTACCCTATGGACTCTACAGTCCATGGAACTCTCCAGGCCAGAATAGTGGACTGGGTACCTTCTCCAGGGGATCTTCCCAACCCAGGGATCNAGTGACTTAGCAGCAGCAGCAGCAGCAGCATGTCCATTGAGTTGATGATACTATCCAACCATCTCCTCCTCTCTCACCCTCTTCTCCTCCTAAGCATCTTTTCTAGTGCTTACTAACCATTTCTATATCTTTGAAGAAATGTTTACTCAAATCCCTGCACATTTAAAAAATGTGGTTATTTGTCATTTTAGGACTATGATATAAAAGGCTTACTCTGACTGCTGTTGAGATAATGTGTACAAAGAACACAAATTACTTTTGAAAACACAAGAAAAATTTTTTTAATTTTTTAAAGGTTTCCAGTTTTGAAAGCAAAAGAGCTCAGTACATCCTCTGACCCTCAAAGTTCATCCTTGACCATGGCTGGAGCCCAGAAAACCAGATCCTCTGTGAACCGCAGTGTGTTAATTTATAAAATAGACCTGCTGGGTCCTAATTAGAACATAGTGCTCACGAAATTCTCAAGATGAGGAAACTAGGGTGCTGGGGCTTTGCATGTCATAGCACAAGATGCAAGGATAGGGTTTCATGCTTACACAAAATAGAGAGGCGACTGCATTACCCTATAGTCTGAAAAACTTTGGACATACTTGACAGTACTGTGAGAACTGGATTTTGCCCCACTGAGGGCCCAAGACAGAAGGTTTTCTCAAATCAGAAGAGGTCGGGAATGGGTGGCTTATATTTGGACCATCCTTTTTAATAAATACTGTTTTGCAATTAGGCAGTGAACCTGGACTCACTGATCTGAGAGAGGACCATGAAATGTGAGGAAAAGAACTCCTCAGAGGACAATTAGAAGGAAGCATACCATAATATTCAGAGAAAACCGCTGTAACAGAGATGCAGCAACACAGTGGCCAGAAAAACGAGAGCTGTATTTCCCTCTTACACCACAGTGTCAGAGTGGGTGCTGCAAGCGGTGGGTGCCTCTCCTTGCACTGTGTGCCCCGCCTTGGCAGTGTCGTCACAGTCACTGGTTGACACTGGGTGGCTGCGTG